CTGGTGTGAGTGGTTGGAGTCTTTCCAGTTTTCCTGGCTGAAGATCCAGCTCCATGTTGGAGGCAGTGCTGGGAGATCTCACTGTTCCCTTGTCTTTGCTCTAGCAGTGAAGGTCACCAGAGCAGCAGAAGGAAGAGCTTTGTCCTGACTCTGCCAGGAAAAGCTGTTTCTCCCCACACAGAGAGGTTTGGGCTTTGTCAGGTACCTGCTGTCCAAGCCTTTTCTCTTTGGAGTTCCCGGGATGTGGTGAAATCCCACAGGAATTCCACGGGAAAGGAACCGCCCCGGGCTCTTGGCAGAAGCATCAGTCTTAGGAGATTAATTTTATACAGGAGAGTTTAACAATAAACAATTTGTCTTGATTGTATCTAAGGCAATTTTACAACCTCTTCACTATTTTCCCAGAGAAGCTGTGGCTGCCCCATCCCTGGAAGTGTCCAAGGCCAGGTTAGATGGGGCTTGGAGCAACCTGGGATAGGGGGAGGTGTCCCTGCCCATGGCAGGGGGTGGAACAAGATGAGCTTTAAGATCCCTTCCAACCCAAACCACTCTGGGATTCTATGATATGATTCCATTTTTTTCCTGTTATACAGGATAAATGTTAACATTTCTGGCAAAATTGCCCTAAAACTACTCCATTGAAAAATGAGCAGGAAAAATGCAGGATTCTCCAGCACCAAAGAGGTTTTGTTATCACTCCCTGTGCCCAAAATAGTGGCAAAGCCATTCCTGCAGCTCAGATTTCTGTCACCATGAATAAACCCAACAGTACTGGGGGTTTATCATCCCAATTCTGGCCATCTCGCTTTGGGAGTTGTGTCCATGGTCACAGCAGCTCCAGCAGCTTCCTCTGGAAGTTTTCTTTCATCCTGATCTTTGCTTTGCAATTTTGGCTCCTGTATTTCTGAAGATTTATAACAGCTCAGGAAGGGATTCCCAAGCCCCTTTTATTCCCAACCCCCGAGGCTTTTCATTTCTTTTAACCTGCCAACCCTTTAACAAATTCACTTTTTCATCTGCTCTGGAGGTGTCCACATGCAGGGACACCTTCCACCACCCCAGACTGCTCCAATCCCTTTCCAATCTGGCCTTGGACACTTCCAGGGATGGGACAGCCATAACTCTGGTCCTCAGAGACACCATTTGGATGGTGGAAACCCCAAACAAATTGCAGGAGCCAAATCTACCCCAAGGAGTCCTTTCGTTAGCCCTCTACCAAGGCTTAATTTTTGTGGTTTACACATGGAAAAAAAAAAATAAAAACAAAAACCCACCCCAGAAATGGTTTACAGGGCTGTCTTTCCTACTGATAGATTACAGCAGAAACTCTTGTGCCATCTGTGCTTTTTCATATCAGAATGATGCAGAGTTTTTAATATCAGAAAAGAGCAGGTACTGAGGCAATGAAGCCAAACCTTCTAAAATGGGAAATTTCAATTGCACTGCATAAAGAAGTAGTTTTCTTCTTTTATTTAGGCTGCGTTTTGCTAATGCTTTTTCTCATTTGAACAACTGGGAAGCATTTTCTGATGAATCACTGATCCTTTTTTTTGTATTTGGAAGCTGAGAACAACCCCTTTTTTTTTTTTTCCCTGCACTGTGAGATACTGCAGTAAATACATTTTTTTAATATTTCACTTGTAGATGTGAATGCATATAAAAAACTGTAAATTCATGTAAATATATGCAAATACAGTCTCTTGAAGACAAAGAATCTGCCTAATCAGGTGTTTGGGGTGGCTTGGATGAAGCTGATGAAAACATCTCCTTGCTGTTGTTTACCCCATTCACCACAGAGATGAAGAAACAACAGGTTATGCCTGGAATTCCCACAATTTTCAACTCGTGATTTCACTCCTGCTCTCACAAACACTATTCTAGAAATCCTTAAAAACTCACCTATGGAAAATAATGCCTAGACTGCAGGTTGAGAAGAGCAGAATGATCTCCAGGTTTAATCCCTGCTGTCTCCATGGCCAAACTGGCAAGGAAATGGAACTCAGGCCTGCCTGTATCCCACTGGAGCACACATGGCATGGGATGTGGACCTTAATAAAAACAAAAAAATACAAAAAAAAATATATATATAATATATAAATAACAATAAATTAAAATGGAGATAAATTTAAATAAAAGTTTATTCTAAAAATTTTTATTATCAGCTATTATTTTAAATTTCCTTAAACTTCACAACATTTTTAGTAGCTGTTGATCCAACCATTGCTGCCAGTCAGGTTCTAGGAGAAATATCTCCCAAAGCCACATTCGATTGCAGCTGGATCATGCAAACTCCAGCTTGAAAACCCCGAAATTCTCTTTTTTCTATTAGTTTGGGGAGTTGCTGTGATCTGTGACAGGGTTTGTAGAGGGAACTTCACGACTTATTCACCCTCACACGCCGTGTCAAGGAATTTCAACCCCCGGGATTAGGATTTGTTGGGAGGGGGATGTTACCACAAGCCTCTCTTTCTCTGAGGATTATACCCACATCAGAATATCCACGGGCCCAGCTTTCTCTGGGAATTGGCAGAGCAGCAGCAGCTTCCCTGCAGGGTGACAGGAGGTGACACAAATATCACTGTGTGGAGCTGGGCTGGCAGCACCGGCCCCTTTAATCCTGGCACTACTGCAGGAAAAATCCCAGGAAAAGCCCTGAGCTCCTCCTGTGCCACAGGAGATCCAGCAAAGGACACGGAGATGAGAATGCAGGAATCTTCCTCCTGTCACTTCAGATTTGTGGGAAATATCATCAGTATTAGTTATAGTTTTGAGGGGAAAAAAAATGGTCGCCAGAATATACAAGGTGCTTTTTTTTTTTTTCTGCTGTGAAGAAAGGTCTGGAAGTTCATCCTGATTCTGGGTGGGAAATGTCCTTTGCTGCTGGGTCAACATTAGGTGTGATTTTGAGGGCACAAAAAATGATCCCCAGAGTACAAGGTGGGGGTTTTTTTCTGCTGAGAAGGAAGGTCTGGAAGTTCATCCTGATTCTTGGTTTTGTTTTCAGTTAGTTGGGTACCTTCATGCAGTTAATTCCCAGGAAGTCTGTGGAGCTGTATCGGTTTTGTGGATCTGCCAGAGGGCAGGGTTAGATGGGATGTTGGGAACAAATTCCTCCCTGGCACAGGTTGCCCAGTAAAGCTGTGACTGCTTCATCCTTGGAAATGTCCAAGGCCACGTTGGATCAAAGGAGCAGCCCAGGCTCATGATCCACATCCCATTTTTTAATCCATAATAATCCCCAGATATTTGCAGAACTACTCCATGCCCAGTGGTTCTGTGGAGCTCCTGCTGCAGGTACCTGCCCGTGTTTATTCTGCCCCTCCAGGATGCCCGAACAGGCCCCTCTTCCTCTCAAACATCTCCCTGCTCAGCTCACCCCTCACAGCCTGGTTTTATCTGCAAGTGCAAGCAAAATCTGTCCAATCCAAGGTGTCCCATGGAAATCTTGGACAGTGCTGGCTCCCACAGATTCCTCTGGAATCACACTTGATGCAGCACCCTGGTTTGACAGGGAACAATTCCCGGCTCCTCTCCCAGCGTGTCTGCCTCCAATCAGCCTCACAAGGATGTTGTGATTGCTCTGTGATGAGATAATTTTCTCGAAACAAGCACAATAAACTCAAATTATCCAGTTAAGGTTACACTTCAAAGGCATTCAGACACGGATAAGTGGGAAGCACGGAATCCACGGAGCCAGATCGGGCTTTTTTTCACAGCTCGGGGACTTTTTTTAGGCACAAAATATTGCAGAACATGTGGGGTTGTTTTTAAAGATAGCACAAGTTGGCAGCAGAGCCACAAAAATGCTTCTCACCGCTTTTGGTGCAACTTGGGGAAATCTGAAGAGCTTGAAGTCTTTTCCTCCCTGACTATGGGTGGATTATTTGGATGTGGAGCATTCCCTTGGAATTTCTTGAATTTACCACACACACAACAACATCCCTGTGGAGGTTTTTAACCCTCCCCAGCTGAACCATCCCTTAAGTCTAAACTCTGTTTAAATATATATTTATATATCTTTTTATATTTATATTTATATTCATATTTATATTTATATTTATATTTATATTTATATTATTTTTATTTATTTTTTATTTTTATATAAATATATATTTGAGGCAACCTTTCTGTTGCACAATTCCACCTGCACCCAGGATATCAAGTGACAGGCCCTGCAATCTGTTGGGGTTTGGTGGGTTGTTATTTCACTGCTCTTGCAGGACAGGCTTGGAAATGTTTTCTTTATATCCCCTTCCTTGATGCCAAAAGTGACCACAAACTCCAAAAAAAAAAAGCTTTCTGTTCCTTTATTTTCCTTCCAGCAGGTGCCAGGATGCTTTTGGAAAAGGTCTGCTGAAAAGCAGGGCACTAAATCCCTTCAGAGCACGGGTTTTGCAAGATCTTGATGTGAAACAATGAAAATTCCACAGTGGAGTTAAAAATTTCATTTTCCCAAGGGCAGAGAGACAACAAAATGGTGTTGTTTTCAACGCCCTTTAATTTAAGTAGTCCCACTGAAGATTAAATAGAGATTTAAAAAAATAATTTTCCACATTTGTGGGACAGGTAGGACAAATAATTCTGCTTTCACTTTTCTGTCCACAAAGAGAGCCTGGAGCTCCTCACTGCTATTTACTGGGGAGCTGAAATTATTTTTTCTTACCCAATTTGCAGTTGCCAGACAGCAGATTTCGTTTTGTTTTCTGCTGCCCTGGCCAGTGTAGGAGTTTTCACATCCAAGTCTTCCTGCTGATCTGTCCACAACCCCTCATCCATGACCTGGAATTGCACATCTCAAGTGTAAAACAAGAACAGGCTCCCAGTCCTGCTGATCAACCTTTGCACTTTGTTCCAATTTTTCTTTCATATGAAACTTGCCCCGATGAAAATGATAATTCTTTCGATATTCAATGAATAATCAATGAATAATCAAAACCAGTGGAGCACATGGAGCACATCCCGAATCCCAAAATATAAATTAACTCGGTCAAATCAAAGTAACTCTCCTGGTACTGGAGATGAGAAGTATAAATTTCCCAGGATTTTTAGCTCTTGAAGAGCAGCTGGACCCCAGATCCCTGCACTGGCAGGAGGTTGTTTTCCTGGCATTCCTGTACCTGCAGACAGGTTGTTTTCCCTGGATATCTGCACTGGCAGGAGGTGGCTTTCCCTGGGATAGCAGGGCTGGAGGAGGTTGTTTTCCCTGGATCCCTGCACTGGTTGTTTTCCCTGGATCCCTGCACTGAAGGTACCCTCAAGGTACCTCCTCATCACTTTGCACTTTCCACCGTCTCCCGCACACAGATTGTAAAACATGATTATTGTGACGTCATTCTGAGGAATTCAGTCCCTCTCTTTGAGCCTTCACCTCAATCCTGGCACTGTCACCCTGTCAGTCCCGGCCCAACGATCCTCCCGACAGCCCTTCCCACCATCAGAACTGACTTTTCCCTCTGTTTGTGCGACACAAAAATGCAATCACCGCGTGCAGAGTTGGAGAGCACGAATTTACAGCGAGCAGGAAAACAAGCCTGGGCTGTAAAATCTTGAAGGTTCGACCCATTTCGGATCGCCGCTCAAAAGCTCCCGGGTTTTTTTCCCGGTGCTGAAACATCAGTCACGCAGCAAAAAAGGGGTCCTTGGCATCATCGAGGCTCTTCTGCCATCTCCTGGGGGAGAGGAGCAAACACCCTCTGGGTGGATTTTAAATTCACGATCTCGAAGTTACGGACGGGAATTGGAATGTTCAGCTCTGCCCTTTCCTTTAAAAAAAAAATAAGCAGGAAATAGATAAGATTAAGGTGAGGATGAAAATATCGGATTTGGATTGGATTTGTAGAGGGTTAATAAAAGAAAACGAGGTTGTTCTGATCTCCATTTCCATGTGCAGAACTGGGAATTGTGGGCTGTTGGTTTTTCCTAAGGTTTAGCCTTGGGAAGAGAAGCTTTGGGCCTAAAGGGGCTCTAAGAGAGCTGGAGAGGGACTCTAGACAAGGGCCTGGAGGGATAGGACATGGGGAATGATTCCTTATTGTCAGAGGACAGGGTTAGATGGGAGATTGGGAAGGAATCCTTCCCTGTGAGGGTGGGCAGGCCCTGGCACAGGTTGCCCAGAGAAGCTGTGGCTGTCCCTGGATCCCTGGGAGTGTCCAGGCCAGGTTGGACGGGGCTTGGAGAAACCTTGGCTGGTGGAAGGTGTCCCTGCCCATGGCAGGGGATTGGACAGAATGGGCTTTAAGGTCCTTCCAACATAAACCATTCCATGATTCTGGGATTCTGTGAAATACAGCAAAGGGTGGATTCAAAGAGAAAAGGTTTAAATAAGAGACACAGTGAAGCTTCTGACATTTCCAAGGAAGTTGTGGAATTTCCCTGATTTGCAGGACCTTGAGAACAAGTCAGAAAAGCACCTCACAGGAACGAGTCAGAAAGAATCACTTCTGCTTTGGAAGGAAAATGTAAATCTGTAGTTCCACATAAATCTGTGGGGATCAATAGACCCCACAGATCTACCAACAGATACATCTGTAGATCACCATAAATCTGGATCAATTAATCTGCAATTCAGTATAAATCTATGGAGGTCAACAGATCTGTGTATCACCATAAATCTGGATCAATTAATCTGCAATTCAGTGTAAATCTGTGGGGATCAACAGATCTGTGTATCACATAAATCTGGCTCAACACACCTGTGACTCACTAGTAGGGTGAACACTGGCAATCCTTCTCTGGTTCATGTCCCATGTCCTGGAGAGACACTTGAGATCCAGGTGTGGGACATCCCTTCCAGCCCAGCACTCTCAGAGGATCCCCCAGGACAGGGTGGTCTCCACGGGGTGCTGACCATCTGCCCCACCACGGGGCACCTGGCACAGCTTCTGGATCACAGCCTGGTTTGAGAGGTGAGGTCAGAGTTGTGTGCAGAGCTTTATCAGGCAATAAACGTTAATATTCCTCAGCCCTCACTGCCAGAGTGTCACCAGAATGGATTTTTTGGTTTTTGTTAAGGAGATGAAATATTGGTGGGAGAGAAGGCTCTAGGAAGGCTCCAATAACTGGACATCACCTGACTGGACATCCCTATCCTCCTGGAAATCTACACCACAGAGAAGTGGTTTGTACCTGTCCCTGTGTTGGTCTGACCTCACAGTGAGGCAGCCTCAGGAACCAGGATCTGCAGTTCCCTCTGTTTTACACAGAACAAACAGTGTTCCTGCCATAAACCCTTGGAGGGAGGGCTCCTGTTCTGTTTGCAGTCTCTGTTCGTTTGTCCAGTCTCTGGATTTGAATGAGAAGACAAGTCCTGATCAGGATCACACTGTCAGTAAGCCATTTACACAGCTTGTCCCTTTATCCTTCTTTTTTTTATTTTTCCCCCCCTGTGTTTGTTCCTCTCATCCAATCCCTCCCTTTCCCCACCTTTGGTTCCTCCCCTAAACATTCCATAGTACATCTGATGGGATCCTGCAATGGTCTTGCCATGCATCCAATAATCTGTCCCACATCCCTGTGCAGGGAGAGAGGATGAAGAGGTGAGGGGAAAACCTCAGCTTTTCCCATTTGACTTGTGGTGGTGGATCTTACACCTGGAAGGAGCCAGAGAATGGTATCCTTGGTCTGGCAGGACAACGAGGCTTTCCCAACCTTCCACTGTGCATCTGGGAGTTGTCTTATTGCCCAGAGAAGCTGTGGCTGCCCTGGAAGTGTCCAAGGCCAGGCTGGATGGGGCTTGGAGCAACCTGGGCTGATGGAAGGTGTCCCTGCCCATGGGGACAGGATGAGCTTTAAGATCTCTCCCAGCCCAAACCAGCCAATCCCTTTTTGTTTTATTTAGTCATAACAGACCTGTTTTTGCTCCAGAAACGTTTTAGACATTGCCTTACCTTGCTGAGGAGTTTTACTGGGACCAGCCTGTGAATCTGTAACTGCAGGAGCCACGTGAGACTAAACCCACTATTGACGTTTGCTGGAGAGCTTTATAATTATGACCTTGACTTCCAGATAATGCTGTGATGAAACTCCCAGTAGCTCCTGCTGCAGATGGATACAAGCCCTTAAGGTAAGAGAGGCTCCCTTGTCCCCAGTGGCAGTTTGTAGCCCCCAGCAGTTTCTCCCCAATTTCCCCAGGTGGTTCCTATTTTTCTTTTCAGGTGCTCCCTAAAAAGGCCATCTCGGGGTTATTGATCATTTTTTTGAGGAAAAAGCATCACCTCTTCTATGTCTCGACTCTGCCAAATATGATTTTGTAAGAAATTAGTGTAACAGAGCTGGGTGTGGGATGGCCTTGCAGAGGAGGAAGGTGATGGATGTTCACAGCCAACATTTCCTTCCCAATATCCCATCTAACCCTGCCCTCTGGCAGTAGGAGGATATTCCCTGTGTCCTGTCCCTCCATCCCTTGTCCCCTCCAGCTCTCCTGGAACCCCTTTAGGCCCTGGGAGGGGCTCTCAGGTCTCCCTGGAGTTTCCCTTCTCCAGGTGAACCCCCCCAGCTCTCCCAGCCTGGCTCCAGAGCAGAGGAGCACCAGCCCTTGGAGCATCTCCACGACCCTCTGAGACTCTTTCTGACTGGCAATTACAAACCAGTTTTGGTCAGATGTTCAACCTGGTGTAGATCTCCACAGTTCACAGTGGACAGTTCTTTGGTACAGTGTCTTCTTCCTGGAATGTAAGAGCAAAACAATCTTCCCGTGCGCTGCTCTGTGAATGAATTCATCCCTCTAGTCCTGAGTTGCCTCTGCTGTTGATTTGTCGGGGTTCAGACCTTCCACCCTTCCCAAAAAGCAACTTTGTCACCAGTTTTATAGGTGGAATTGTCACTCTTTGTTATTGCTGCAAGCCAGAGTTGATCTGCCGTGGCTTTGTGTGGTCACTCAACCACATCTTCCCTTCTGTCTCCACCCAGAACCACCACAAGGTCTCTGCCAGAGGCCTCTCAAGTTTGAGCCAACAAGGTGATCAAAGACAGGGAACAGCTTTGGAGGACAAGGAGGTTCACGACACAAAGGGAATTCAGTGACATGATCAGGCAGCAGCTTCATCGTAATCACAAATACTTCCTTCTCATCCCCAAATCCGCCCCACACTTGGGACAAACTTCAAAAAAAACACCCAAAAAAGTCTTCCAGAGCAATGAAATGCTGATAGAACTCATGAGCAAATGGGGACACAGTCCCTTGGAAGCAGCAGAGAAGTATCACTGGATGTTCTTGTGATTCTTGAAGGCATCTGTGAGTGGTTGTCCTCCCATAATTAACCCTTCTGCATAATTGTCCCACTCACCCTTTTACTCTCCTCTTTCCCAGATTAAAGGCCCATCAACACCTTGGTCACCCTGCACTGGATTCTCTGTCTTTTCCCCTCCTGGCACCACCAGGAGAGGGGCTGGACATCAAGGAAAATCAGCTGCCTGGGCTAAATCATCTTAATCCCAAATAAATGGAGACACTCAGGTGTGGGAAGACATAAATCTGGGGTGTATTTACCATCTACAGCAGAAGAATGCTGAGTGGAATATTGAGATTCACTGGAATAAGACAGAGAAAACATATTGATGTCATCAAAAAGTATCTCACCATGACTGGGCTGAAAACATAAAAAAAAGACCTTTGTCATTAATTCTGATTCCAGTGTCTGGCAGTGCAATTATCCCAGGAAAAAAGGAGAATATTGGATTTGTCTTTCAGATTCCTGGGGAAAAAAAAAAAAAAAAAAAAAAAAAAAAAAAAAAAAAAAAAAAAAAAAAAAAAAAAAAAAAAAAAAAAAAAAAAAAAAAAAAAAAAAAAAAAAAAAAAGAAGAGAGAAGCTTCTGGAAAGATCTAACAGCAATGTTTATTTAAACCCTGTGATTTTTTTATCAGGACATGGCAAAATATTTAATGCAAATAAATGGTCTTTGGCTGTACCATGACTTTTATAGACTTTTTATTGCTCATAAACCAAGTCATATCATGGTTGGTACTTTCTCTGACTCTTGTAGTTAAAATATTACCCCAAGGACAATCCCACCTTTGTGTGCTCAGTGTTTGCTGAGCAATCCTTGGAGATCCTTGGATCAGCTTTGCCTCCATTCACTCTGGTTTTTTACCAGGAAAAGCTTTTAGCACTGAAATTTCCTCAAAAAAAAATTTAAAAAAAAAAACCCTAATATTTTTTTTTAATTAGTGAAACCTGTTCTTCTTTTCCAAAACAGAAATTCACGCATATTGAACAAAATGACAAAAAGAAAAGGGACTGAGCACTGGAATGGGCTGCTCAGAGATGTTGTGGAGTCTGCATCCTTGGGAATACTCAAAAATCACCTGGAAACAGTCCTGGGGACCTCTTCGGGCAGGGAGGTTGGAACTGGACCCCAGTTGTCCCATTAACCACTCTGTGATTCTGAGAAGAAATGGTTTGCAGCCTTAAATCGCTGAGAGTTTGAAAGGATGGAAATGGTTTTTGGTAGCAAAAGAACTTCTTTTTCTGCTTAGGGGAATTAAAAATAAATAAATAAATAAAATGGAGTGGGAAAAAAAAAAAGGCAGAAAAGTGAAATAAAAAAAATCAAGGAGAAAAAACCAATCCAAACTTCAAAAACTAAAGGAGAGAGCCTGGGAAGTGGGTGCCAGCAGGAGGGACTAGAATTGGCAGCCAATAAGTAGAATAAAAGGATATATCAGGCAAAATTGAGAGGCCAAAGCAGAAATTTGGAAAAGCTGGTCAGAGTTATGAGAATGGTGAGAGAAATTTGAGGGGAAAAAAAACAGGCACAAAAGTCTGTACATATAAAAACAGTGGGGAAAGGAAAAATCCCACATCAACTGGTAAGTGTGGACTTACTCTGAACACCTGAACACGGAATTCCACAGCAATAAAGTGATGAGGGAAATCAGAGACAGAGACTGTGAAGTGATGGACTCAGGGAGGAGCAACCAAGTCTCTAGAATTTGGGAACTGATTGAATTTGTCATCTCAGTGATCAAGAAAAAATAAAAAATCCAGTGTTGGGATTTAGCAGTAAAAGAGCCATTATTATTTTTATTATTATTATTATTATTATTATTATTATTATTATTATTATTACTATTATTACTATTATTATTATTATATTGTTGTTGTTGTTATTGTTATTATTATTATTACTAAAGTGGGTTGTTATTGTTATTGCCAAGGTTCAAACCTGGGGGTTATCAGGACAGTCCAGACCACGTTTCCCTCCCTGTGGATCAGAAGGAAAGAGGGAGATGATTTAGAAAAAAGAATTCGTAGATTCTAAAGCTTAAAAGCTCTGCATACCCCCAGCGTGAACTGGGATTTAGCACCTGCCAGGGAAAGGTGTGAAAGGTGTTAAAGAGCAATTCCTGCGTGGTTAAGGATGTGGATGTAAAGTCTGTGTTTGAGAAAGATAATTTGGGCAATCCTTTAATTAGCAGATGCTCCGTCTCCCTGTTATCTGCCGACACACCCTGGGAGGAAAGGGCACCTCAAACCCTGAATTTACCTGCCCAGCATTTTGTTCCACCCTTGGCAAAAAAATCCTCCTTTTTATCAGGGACCTTTCCCTCAGTGCAAACATCCCCCTGCGTTGGTGAAGTCACCTCGACCTCTCTCTCTTCTCCTGGACAGCTGAGTAGCACAATAATCACTAATCATCACCCCAGGAGGACCTGCCGTGTCCTTCTGCTTCGACCTCTGTTTAGTGCTTCTGCTCAAGAATTCCTACCTGAAATCCAACCTAAATCCACCTTCCTTCAGCTTAAGGCCACTCCCCCCGCCATGGCCTTGGAAAATTTTCCTTTCTCTTTTATTACAAAAGAGCTCCGTGGCCACTAAAAGGCTTTGAAATCCTTAGCCCACATCCTTCTCTTTGAACTTGGCCCTAAATCTCCTTTCCATTTCCTCCACCCTCGCTGGTGTAATCAAGAACGTGGGCAGTTCCAGCAGCAGGAGAGCAGGAAGATCCTTTTTTTTCCCTTCCCTCCTGTGCAATCTCCATCCTGCAGCTGCTCCATCATCCTCCTGTAAAGGATGTCGAAGATAAGGGGTTTGCACGTGAACGACGTGCAGAGAGAAATTCATATTGCTCAAAGGGGGCACTGTTATACTCCCAGAAGTGCCCTATAAATTGGAGCAAATTTTCCCAAATAATTAGAAACGGCACCACAGAAAATCACACATTAGTGTTCCCTCGATTTTTTCACTTTTAAAACAATGTCAGTCCTTTAGCAAGGAGCACAATGTGCAGAATACCAGATCTGGGCAAGTCCTAAACTCCAAAACCAGCCTGAAACTCTCTCAGGTCAGAACATAAAATCCTGTAGTTTGGTTAAAATCTGATTCCAGAATTGCCCATCTGGTCATTGGGTGAACACTCAGAAACAAGGCCGTGGCAGCTTCTGAGAAAAACTTCCTTATATTGGGGCAATCCCCAAAAGCTGAGTGTATCTAAAATTTGGTCCAGTGGCATCTTCCCTCATCCAGCTCCCAGGGACAGACCCCACTCCCAGGGATGTGCCAATGCCCATCCCACCCATTTGCAGCCAAACTTGGAGGTACAAAAATATTTCCTGAGACAGGAAAATTTTGATATACAAAAAACTGACGAATATTCCCTTTGATTTGGCTTCAGGTGGCTCTGATGAAGTTGCTCTGTTCTTTCCTACACAGCCCCTCAACAGAAAACGCTGTAGAAGAGACAAAAGCTGACTCAAACAAACCTCACAGATAAATCCACGTAGGTGCTGCCTACTCAGGGTCAAGTTACAGGTGAGTGTGAAATGAATCAGTTCCTAAACCATCAGACTGAGCGTGGAAATATCTTATGGATCCTCTGCAGCATCTGCTCACAACACTCCCAACAGGATTTCTTGCCTTACCCCGCCCTTTGGCCTCTCATCACCTGTTTTGCTTATTCCTCATGTACAGCAACAAGAAATGGGATACAGCATTTTCTGACAAGAGCCCAGAGCCAAGAGCTGATTGTCTGCAAATCTCACCCGAGGAGGGAGATAACGACAGCAGGGTGACGTCTGTGTTCTCATTAGGGATTAAATATTAATGGGGAATTACGGAATCATATCAGAGAATCCCAGAGTGGTTTGGGTTGAAAGGGACCTTGAAGATTATCCAGTCCCACCCCACTGCCACGAGCAGGGAAATCTTCAAGCAGCCCAGGTTGCTGCAAGCCCCCAGCCTCAAGGCATCAGAAGAACCTTAGTTTGAGACTTTCTCTTTGGAATTTGCTGTTGGAGGGTTTTTTCCTGGAGTGCTCAACACTCTGCATGCAAGGAATCCTCCACATACACAGCTTTTCTGTCCAATGGAACAGGAATTTGTGCACCCAATGTTACTTTTTAAGCAGCATTTCTGGATTTAGGCACCCACTCTCTGGGCTCAACGTGCAGTTTTGGAGCACTGAGAGTCTTGGTGGAACTTGGTTGCTGAGCTGAGGGGTCCCAGATAGAAAAAATGGAGGCAATAATTCAACAGTTAAAAAGCAATAATTAAAATCTCAGATACAACCTTACATTGCTATGAGAGAGCTGGGGGGGCTCAGCCTGGAGAAAAGGAGGCTCAGGGGGGACCTTCTGGCTCTGCAATCCCTGATAGGAGGGGGGAGCCAGGGGGGGTTGGGATCTGCTCCCAGGGAACAGGGACAGGAGGAGAGGGAACGGCTTCAAACTGTGCCAGGTTGGACATCAGGAGGAATTTCTCCCTGGAAAGGGTTGTGAGGATCTGGAAGGGGCTGCCCCAGGATATGGTTAAATCCCCACCCCTGGAGGTGTCTGAGGAACAACTGGACGTGGCACTCAGTGCCCAGGTGGGGATGGGGCACAGATTGGACTCCATGACCTTGGAGGGCTTTTCCAACCTCAGTGATCCTGGGATTCTGTGACAACAAATGAGTTTAAATTCAGGACATAGAAACAAGATAAGTTTTATTGCAGTGAATACCTGGACATGACACACCTCATACAGGGGAGAAAGCAAGTAGGCAAGGCTGTCCCAACATAAAACCCACCCTAAAACCCAGCAAAAAAACATACAGAAAAATTAAAAAAATCCAAATCATTACTGGCTTTTATTTCATATACAGGTTATAAACATGGGCAGATCCTTCCTTCACTGCCTTGCCACCAACAAGTACAACCACGAGGCAGTGCTTTCATTTCCAAGTCATTCCAGCACTGCAGGTTTGAATTCCTTTCTCCTAAAGGGAGCTTAAAGAACATGGATATCCAGCCAGGTGGGAAGTGTCCCCGTGCTCCTCCTACATCCCTAAACACACAGCAATTAGTGCAAGTAACAGACTGATTTCTGACTGTGAGGAGGTTGCAAAACAGGAATTTATCCAGTTATTTCCTGCAGTTCTGTTACAAACAGAGAGGTGTCACCTGCAGACAAGGAGAATGATCCAAGACACTGGGAAAGGGCTGGGAAAGGGGATAATAACCCAGTGCTGTGTGCAGGGGGAGGCCAAATCACAGGCAGATATTAATGATCAGATATTATGTGTTAGACATCAAATATCAGATATTAAATATCAGCTACTAAAAAGCCTGAAAAGACCGCTGATTTTCAACTGGGGATGTTCAAACCCAGGCAAAACAGTGGGAAACGAAACCCAGGACGTTTTCCTGGAAGTGTGACCCAACTCCAGCAGCACTGGAGGCTCTCAGGGTGAGCTCCCAGCCCCCTTGCTGGCAGAACCGCCCCGCTGGTGGCACCTGATGTCACCACAGCATTGCTTGGGCTGTGGTGGGAGAGGTATTGATTGGTGAAAGGATGTGATCTGGCCACAGGAATGAACGAACTTCCCAGCTGGACACCTCTTCTTGGGGGTGGTTCCTCACTCAAAAGCAGCCGGCACAGGCAGCATTGGCGCAGATCTCACACAGGTCATCCTCGGCAGCCAGGCCTGGCAGGGGAGAGGGGGGGGTTAAATCAGAGGCCAAGGGACTTGGGGAGCCCCTCCCCATCACTGTTCCACTGTTTTAATATTCCTTGAAAGCACTACTGTTCTTGCTAAAGTCTGGCTTAAGGAACTAAATCAAACACGGATCCATCGGGAGGCAAAGGGTGGAAGAGGCCAGGGGAGAGCAGAACGTGGCAGCATTGCTTCCTGAAGGGTTCACTGCACTGAACAGGAGATAAATGGAATAGAACACCATGAAAAAGCAACCAGTGCAGCAGCAGAGCATGGCAGGGGAGCCTTGGGTAGCAGGAACGGCCTTAAGTTGAAAAAGGGTCTATTTAGATTAACTTTTAAGGAATAATATTGTGAGGGTGAGCAGGCCCTGGCACAGGTTGCCCAGAGAAGCTGTGGCTGCCGCTGAATCCCTGGAAGTGTCCAAGGCCAGGTTGGACAGGGTTTGGAGAGACCTGGTCTGGTGGAAGGAATCCCTGCCCATGACAAGGTGTGGAACTGGATGGGCTTTATGTCCCTCCCAATCCAGACTGTTCAGTGATCCCATGATTCTACCTGGATGAAGTTTTTCACGGTGTGCCCAGGGATCTTCTTTAGGGGCCTCACACCTCGTGCAGCCCAACCCTTGTGGGAGAAAAAACCATCCCAAAGGCAACACAAACCCCCTCAGCTCCTTCAGGAGCCACAGGACAAGTCATTCCTCACTTCACCTCCAGGCATTTTAATGTCTAAGGTGGAAAAGCGGGATTGGAATGGCAAGTCAGCAACATGAGAGACATACTCAGCCTCTGGAAAATCTCGTGGGCGTCTTCCCTCTTGCACACGGGCTGGAATTCTGCAGGGAGGGATTTCTCGTGGCACACAGCCTGACCGGTCACAGGCACCACCAAGCGAGGGCTGACAGGCCTGTTCCCATTCATGAGCTCCTTCAGCTTCTTCACAGATTCCAGGGGGAATTTTAAGTCTCCATCCTGTGTAGAAAGAATTGGAAAAAAAAAAAAAACGACATAAGGAGGGTCAGTCCTCAGGAAAAAATCTTTTCCGTTTCAACCTCCAGCTCTCCCCAAAAAATGTAATAGAGGGAAAAGGCAGTGCTGAATGGAAAACCAGATAAAACCCGTGCTGGCTCAAGGCAAAATCATGAGGTCTTGAAGGCACAGACCTTGCAGAGCAGCTGTGAGACCCAACTGCTGCTCAGACCTTCGTTGGGAGTCGCAGTGGACAGAGGCACAACTGGGGCTTCGCTGACCCCCAGGAGTGAGACTCCAAACAGGCTGGAAAAGAGATGGCTGGGCAATGTCATGGAATCATGGAATGGTTTGGGTTGAAAGGGACCTTAAAACCCATCTCCTTTCACCCCCTGCCACGGGCAGGGACACCTTCCACCGGCCCAGGTTGCTCCAAGCCCCGTCCAACCTGGCCTTGGACACTCCCAGGGATGGGGCAGCCACAGCTTCTCTGGGCAGTTCGTGCCAGGGCCTTGGGGAAGCGGCAAATTTCCATCAATTCAGAATCACAGAAGCTTCTGAGTTGGAAGGGAACTTCTGGGAAATATTACTCCATTGTTTTAAATCACTGTTAAAGGTCATTCCCACAGTTCCCAGTGAATTCCCCCTTTCGAGGTCATCAGTGTAAGCTGCAGGTTTGGCAGTTGCTAAACCAAGCCCACAGAGTTTGTGCTTGTCTGCAGATTAGTAGAACCTGGCCTAGAAGATAAATAAGCATTTTCAATTTTATCTTTCTCCTCTGTTTTAACCTGCTTGAATAGCCAATATATCCCAAAGGGGATGTGGAAGGTGCCCCTGCCCGTGGCAGGGGGTGGACCAAGGGGAGTTTTAACGTCCCTGTGAACCCAAACCATTCTGGGAAAAGCAACTCATTCACAGGAAAAAAAGTGACTCTGATGCAGCACAAGACTAAATTTTGTCTTTTGTTTCATAATCTCACGAGCTGAGCGGTGAAAAGTGTGAGATGAGGGGGAGTAGCTGACTCTGATAGATTGGGGGTGGGGTTTTTTACAGAATCAGAGAATTTTGGTGTTAAAGTTTAAAAAAAAAAAAAAAAAACAACCACATAAACTTTTGATATTAAATTACTCAAGAAAGTCAAACTCTTTGCTCTTGCACTCATCTTATTTTTTTTACTCTGGTCAATTTATCAGCTGGATCCGATAATCTCAGAGGGCTTTTCCAACCTTCGTGATTTTATGATTCTGTAAAGAATGGTGAGGCAATAGTTCCAGGGCAGTGGTGGAGTCACCACCTCTGGAAGCGATCAAAAAACAAGTGGATGTGGCATTTGGGGACATGGATTAGTGGTGGCCCTGGCAGTGCTGGGTTAATGATTGGACGTGATGATTTCAGAGGGTTTTTCCAACATAAACCAGCCCTCATTGCCTATGAGGAATCAACTTTTCCTGTATGAAAGCAGTTCCAAATTCAGCCATTGCTCTCAGATATCAGAAACATAAAAGAGGGAACTAAAAAAAAAAGGTGGATTTCAGCAGGAGCAATTTCAGAGAATCCAGGAATTAGGAACAAACCCTTAGATGTGCAGGTCAAGGGGACAAAAGTGGACAAAGGAACAACAAAAATAGAAAAAAAACCCCACCAGCTCAGATAAGAACAATGTATTACAGAGCTAAACCTGAGCAGAATCTCCCTTCCAAAGTGAGATAACTCATATTCCTCCGATTTCCATCCCATTCCCTCCAGATCTGTGATGGGAAGTGCCAGGACAGCGACACCCAGACTTCAAAACCAAGCTGGGCATCACATGAAGATCTTCGCAAAAACATTTCTTGAAATGAAACATTTCTGGGCTATTAAAGGAGAGGGAGAGGGAGGTTCTGGGGAAGAACTTCAGGCAAGAAGGGTGGAAGTCAACTTTGTGCAGGTGAGGAACTAGTGAGACCTCGGGGATCTCGGGAGGTGCAGGTGGAAGGAGGGCACAGTTCTGGTGTGCTGGGGGAAATGTGGATTTAATGGTTAGTGGGATAAAAATTCCAGCTTAAAAATCCACTTCCTACACTTTCACCTAACCTAGAAACAGCTCTTCTCATTTAGGGTTTGGTTTTAATGCCTCCAAGTGGAAAACTGAGGTGGTTTTTTTCCATGACGTAGTAAAATATCTGCTCTCCAAAAGACTAATTTGTTGAAGAACGATTTGGAGGAAAGGAATAACTGAAACCTATGGATATGTCTGTCATCCAAAGAGAGGATAGTTCAAGGCACCTTGTCCCTGGAAAGCTGCTGCACACACAGAGTCAGTAATTGGTTAAGAAACATTAATTCTCTTGGAATTCTGAGGAAGTTGTTGACAAGGCAAACTCACATCTCCCAGACTGTTTCTTTGGATGATCAAAATCTATCCCAAGGACAGACCAGAGCACTTCAGGACCTTCCTAACTGCCTTCATGTCACATGGAATATCAGTCTGTGCACATGGAATGCCAGTCTGTGCACATGGAATAACAGTCTGTGCACATGGAATTCAGTCTGTGCACATGGAATATCAGTCTGTGCACACGGAATTCAGTCTGTGCACGTGGAATATCAGGTGTTGTGTACTTTGGAAAATTTAATGGACCTCCTCCAGCCACTTCTCTGCCTGTGATATTCCACTGGATCCAGGCAAGAACTTTTTTCACCTTTTCTTACAGGTGGAAGTTGTAGGTCCAACCCATAAGCACACCTGTTAATAAAAGACCATCCTGTCCAGATCCAGGTGAGACAAGACAATTTCTCTTGTGTCACACCTTGTTTATATTGTTCTCCAAAGTTAGAGGTTTGCATCATTCCCTGAAATTTTGTGGCTTTGGATTAAAATTAGAGGCATCCCCAGTTCTTGCACCTTGGGATTATCTGCCAAGGAAAACCCTGGACACAAAACACCTCAGCCCCTGAGGGATTTCAGAGCAGGGATGTGCCTGCAGAAGGTAAATAAACAGAATTTTCGTGGAGAATTTTACAGAAAGCAAGCGTGGAGCACAGGGAGAGGCACTTGGATATCAAGGCAGAGCAAAGCAAAAACCCAGGTCTCTTTACCTGACTTCAAGACTCCTGTTGCAGCCACAAGTTTAAATAATATCAGCACCTGGTTGAACTCTTAAAATCAATAAACCAAAGAGAGAAAACTCACCTGCACATAGACTGCCCAGGAGCTGTGCACCAGCACGAGGACTGCCAGGATGGCACAGGGAAGGAGGCCTCTCATGGTACCTGCAAAGCTGAGCCTCTCCTAACCTGGATGTAATTTATTTTCTCTAGGTTTGGTCTTTCTCTGCCTCTTTTTATTTTTATTTTTTTTTCTGTCTCTCAGACTTTCTCTCTCTGCCCAGCGCTCGAAGCTTATAAAGACTTCACCCAGCACTGGTTTGGTAATCCATTAATCCAAGCTTTTTATGGACATATCATAAACCCCCAGAGGGCTCTCAGTTTTCTGCTCTTTGGCAGAGCAGCTCAGTCACACCCAAGCAGATCCTGTGATTTATGAGTCACTCAATCTCTGGGCCACGGACAGTCAAAATATTCCCACCTGCCATAAATGAATGTGGGGATTGATCCAGTGCACCCCCTCCCAGGAACTCAGGCTCCACATTTCTGGCTGCAGAGCTGGGAGGGGCAAATAAATTTCGAAGGAGAGGCAAAAAAAAATGACCCAATCAGTTCCCTCTTCTGTGGGTACTAAAAAGGTGCAATTATGGAATCATGGAATAATGTTGGAAAAGCCTTCTGAGATCAGAGGGTCCATCAACCCAGCACCTGGTGATAGGTTTTTTATCGCCGAAATAACGTCCACAAGGGCAACCTCCACAGGTTTTTTGAACACTTGCAGGACTGGGGACACACCCTCGAGTGGCCTGGGCAGCTGTGTCAGGGCCTGGTCACTCTTTATTGCTATTTCTGGCAGCACCTCCTTAAAATCCAAGTGTCCAAAGGCAGGGAGTTTGGGAATGAGAATAAAAGCCGCCAGGAATCAAATCCATTTCTCCACGAGTTTCATTCCTATTCACAAACACGGCAATGTCACGTGGACGAAGAGGAAACAACTGACCTCATTCCGCTCAGGTCTGACGTCAAGCTCAGGGCCTTTGATCTGTAAATGATTTCTGGCATTTGGTGGTTTTTAATTAACGGGGTCGGCAGGAAGAAAAAAACGTTCCTTGTTCCTGCAGAGCAGGAGAGGGCAAGAGTCACCCACTGAGAACTTCCCCGAACCACAGCAGTGTTGGGTGCCACAGGGGCTCCAGGTGTTGATGTAACTCTGCTGCTGAAGTTACAGTGAAACAGCCATTCTTCCTGGAACCAAATTCCAGGAACTAAAGCAGCCTGGATTTCCCAGGCATGGCCTTGGAGGAGAGAATGGGAATTCTCTGGTTCAGTGTAACCGAAAAACTACAGTAGAGCTGAGCCAACCCCTGAGCTGACAGTGTCACCTGGGGACTGACTGGCCTTGCTTCTCTCCACCAGCCCACCTCATGCCTCAGCCAGAAAATTTGGACCCCTGGAAGGGTCTTTTTTTATCAAAAACAGCAGGTTTCCTCTCCTGTTCTGATTTCTCTGCTTTCTGTGCTGCCAGCCATGGCCAGGAGCCACCACTTACAAATCCTCCACAACTCATCCTCTGCCCTGAATTTCATCAGTCTGGGCCAAGGGTGGAACAGCAGAAGGCACAAAAAAGTTCCTCTGAACAGATTCCAAGGGGAGTCTCTACAACCATTTCCTTCTCCTCAGCCTGGTTTATGCTTTTTAAGGTTTATCCTTTTTTACACTTTTTAAGCCCGACTTGGAAAAAACTAAAGAACAGAGAAAACTTGGAGAAAACTAAAGAACAGATTAAACAGGCCCTGAGGGGGAGCTGGGAATTGTCAAGGATGGAAAGACCTCCAGGTCTGGCTTCCAGATCAAGTCCAGCCTCGGAGAGAAGGCAAACAGAGAGAGGACAGGGGGTTGTGTTGCACCTGCTCCTGGGAATGCCCCACCAGAATGGCCTGGATTGCGAGCCGGGGGCCCCAAGAAAAATTCAGATTTGCCACTTGCAGGCTGGAATGTCTTCTTTGGAGCCTGCAGGAGGCTCCTGGGTTCCAGCCTTTCCCTTGCCATGTGTCTCCTCAGGGATGTACCTTGTGTGGTGCTGCCACCTGGCAAAGAGAGAAGGGAGAGCAGACAGAGGGATCTCCAGGGACAAGAGTCTGGCAGGGATGGGGTCTCTCTCTCTCTCTCTCTTGCCCAGAAGAAAGCCAAGTGTGCAGATGTTCCTTCATCTGCTCCTACAGGATTGGCTCCAGAGGAGGTCCTGGAGATGGGAACAGCTGCCTTTGCCACTGGGAGATCTTTTCCCACACCACCAGGAGTTCCCACCGCTGTGGGAAGTGTCGATTGGGAAGTGGCCCCATCGGGTCGGCCGGGACGGGGACGGGATTGTCCAGCTCTACTCTGCCCTGAGGTGGCCTCACCTGCCAAACTGGGGCAGTCTGGGGGACATAATATAAGGAAGCCAATGAGCTGTTGGTGACTGTCCAAAGGAGGGACACGAGGATGGGGAAGGGTCTCGATTTGAAGCCGCGCGATGACACAGAGGGCGCTTGGTGTGTTCAGCTGGGGAAGTGGAGACCGAGGGGAGACCTCACTGCAGTTCCAGTTTCCTTGGGTGCTGCCCACAGAGTGCCCAGGGTGGCCTGCCAGCTGCACCTAAAACCCAAAAGCTGCAGGCTTTCCTTCCTCAGGAAAGAGAGTTGCAGTTCCTTTTTTGTTGACGTGCGGGGAAATCGCCACTCCCGACTCCCAGACTTGAACACGGATGAAGATTCCTCCCAGACAAAAGGTGGCATGAGAGAAATCTGCTGCCCAAGGAGCACCCTAAGCAGTCCTCTAACTGCACTTAAAATCCAAAGGTTTCAGGCTTTCTTTCCAGGGGGATAATGGGAATTCTTATGTTCCAAAAACTTCAGTAGAGCCGAACCAACCCCTGAGCTGACAGTGTCACCTGGGGACTGACTGGCCTTGCTTCTCTCCACCAGCCCACTTCATGCCTCAGCCAGAAAATTTGGACCCCTGGAAGGATCTTTTTTATCAAAAACTGCAGGTTTCCTCTCCTGTTCTGATTTCTCTGCTTTCTGTGCTGCCAGCCATGGCCAGGAGCCACCACTTACAAATCCTCCACAACTCATCCTCTGCCCTGAATTTCATCAGTCTGGGCCAAGGGTGGAACAGCAGAAGGCACAAAAAAAAGAGGGACAGGCGGGAACTGATGCCCAGTAAGTTCCACCTGAGGAAGAACTTCTTTGCTGTGCAGTGGCCAAGCCCTGAGTGGGTTGTCCAGAGGGAATGTGGAGTCTCCTCACTGGGGACATTCCAGAACATTTTGGGTACAATCCTGTGACATGTGCTCTGGGACAGAGCAGGGAGGTGGGACCAAGAGACCCACTGTGGTCCCTTCCATGCCAATCCACGTCCAGCAGTCACACCTGGGTCACCAAACACTCTTGTTCCCAGAAGCAACTCACACACCCAGGGGAGGGATTTGAGGGATTCCTTTATTCCATTTTTCCATGCAGTGGTGCACTGGGGCTGCTCTGAGCCCACTTCTGCTCTTCTCTGCTGTTCTCTGGGGTCTTGGAGCTCCTTCTGCTTCACCAAGCTAAGGGGGAATCATAAACTGTTCAGCTGGAGGTGCAGAGAGGAGGGCAGGGACCTTCTGCTTACCAGGCGTGTTCCTGGAGGGTTCCAGGGTGTCCAAGATCCCCCTGCCCTGCCAAGGTGCCAAGACCTGGCCAGGACAAACCCCAGAGGAACCCACCCATGACCCCACCTGGCCTGGCTGTGCCTGTGGCCACGGCCCTGGGGCTGGAGGGCAGCTCTGGCTCAGGGTCACAGCCCCAGGACCCCCTGCCCTCCTGCCACCCATCCAGCAGGGCAGGACATCCTTCCTGGGGAAATAAACCTCCCTTGCCTGGGAATACCCACCAGAGGAACTGTCTTGGGACCATTTCCTCAGCTTGTTGATCTGCAGGGCCTTCATGCACTGCTCCCGGGACACCCGGAACGGCTCCAGGTTTGCCAGGACCTGCTTTGCTCGGGGTGTCCTGCAAGGACAGGGACAGAGTCCCTCTTGCTCCCTGGCTGAGACCCTGTCTGGTACAGCCCCCTGCCCACTCCTGAGCCTGTCCCTGCTCCTGCCCCTGTCCTGCTCCTGATATTGCCTCTCTCCCTGTCCCTGCCCATTCCTGTCCCTGTCCTAGCCCCTGCCCTCTCCTGTCCCTGTCCCTGTCTCTGCTCATTCCTGTCCTGTCCCTGTCCCTGCTCCTGTCCCAGCCCCTCCCTCTGTCCCTGTCCTACTCCTGTCCCTGTCCATCTCTCTGTCCCCCTCCCAGTCCCTGTCCCAGTTCCTGCACAATCCTGCTCCTGTCCCTGTCCCAACCCCTGTCCCTGTCCCTGTCCCTGTCTTTGCCCCCTCCTGCCCCTGTCACTGCTCCTGTCCCTTCCCTTTCCTGCCCATCCTTGTCTCTGTCCCAGCCCCTCTCCCAGCCCCTGTCCCTGCCTCTAACCCTTTCCCTGTCCCTGTCCCCCTGTCCCTGTCCCTTCCCCCTCCTGCCCCCGTGCCCACACTCCCTTTGGCCCCACCACCCCCTTCACCACTCCACTTTTCCCTCCCACCTGCTCAACTCTCTCCCCGGCTTTTCCTTTTCCTTTTTCTCCTCTTACTTTTGCTTTGACCTCCTGCCAAGAGGGAAAGGGGTTTTCATGGTCTCCTCTCTCTCTGGGGACAAGGCAGCTGCCACTCCTGCCACAGCTGCTGCCCTCTTCTTCCTCATCCTCTCAAACTTCCCCAGGGGGGAGGCAGCTGTCTTCTCTGGACTCTCCTGCTCTGCCACGAGTGGGAGCTGTTGTGTGGGGAAAAGGGAGGCAGCTCAGATATTTTGGCAACAGTCCAAATCCCATCCCACAGCCCGTGACCCAAGGGACACTTTGGTTTCCTCCTCTCTCTCCCAGAACCCTTGGCAGGAACC